AAGAATTTTTAATAATTTTTATTAGGAAATGAATTTCTTAAAATATTCTTTATATGACACATAAGATTTTTCGCTATTAATCTACAGAAGATGATGACAATAGGACGTGGTACTAATAGATCTAGTTAATTTTTGTTTTATTTTTCTTTCATATGATAAGAATATGACAACAATGATCATTGATAATTTATTGTTGTAAAAAATATCAGAATCAAAAAACAAAAAAACACAACATTTCAAGAATTTCAAAATAAAATAAAATCATGAGAGAGCACTAGTATTGTTTTTATCTTCGTCAGGTGCAGGAACGGTCCAATATTGTTTAACCGCATAGTAAATCTTCACTCTCTCATGAGGACCTTTCTCGTGATCAGCAATTCTACCTTCCCATTGTAATCCTTTGGTTAATTCCTTAACCTTAATCAAAACGTCCACGTCATCTCTTATAATCACTCCACCACCCGGTCTAAGAATCCGGTCCATCTCCAACAATATATCCTCCGGTTCACACTTATCTTGGTACAATGTGAAAACCGAATCAGCATGGATAAAATCATACGTTCTTGGATACGTCGACATCGCTTCACACCTAACAAGAACAGAACAAAAAACCGGGTTAAACCATAAACATTCAACGAGAAAACCCGGTTTAGTTTTGGTTTGGTTTAAAGCTTACCAGTTTTGATACGTTCCTATTAGACCACGCTCGTAGATGACACCGAGAGTATTCAGCTTAGCCTCGACCGAAACTACGTTCATGACCCAAACCGGATCATCGGCTAGAGCCGACGCGAATCCACCGAGGTAAGCGTTCATGTCGAGTAAATTTCTGTATCTTCCTTTTTCACCTAACTGGTAATCTAATCTCTTGTAATAAGAAACTCTCTGTTTCCACAGTTTCGTGTCCTCCAAGAAAGCTTCTGGTGTGACTTTCTCGAGATCGCCTCTGCTGACTCTCGGTGGAACCGCGTTTAACCTAGCCGGCCACTTCTCTACCTTCCCTCCTGCCACCGTCTTGAGATCCTCTGCCTCGTCAACTTCCGGTAATGGCGTCAAACAAGAATCCATCTTCGTATACCAGGCCATGTCGGGATCTTGATCATGGCGACAAAACTCCGGTTTCTTCAAAACCTGTCTAATTATTTTCTTGCAATGAATGTGGTTAAAGGGCTTTTGCCAAATAGCAAGATCATCTCTCTGAACAACTTTCTTCCAACACAAGCTTCTCGCGACGTTTTCGATCTGAGTCTGCTCTGCATTTAAATCATCCATCGTCCGTTCCCATCCTTTCCAACGTTTCTGCCAATTAATCGGCGGTCCAGACAAAATCCAGTACCCTCCCGGTCTTAAAACTCTATCAACTTCTATCAAGTAAACTCCATCTGCAACATAACTCAACAGCGTTAGAACACAAAATGATAGTTTTGTAGTAGTAGTTTAGGGTTTAAGAGTAGTCGAACCATTTTGGCCCCAAGGGATAAGGCAACGAGAGCAATGAGCTAAGTCAAAGGCTCTAGATGGGTAAGGTAAGCGGATTGTAGCCATGATTCCGATCATCGCAGGCACGCCACGCTCGAGTGCGAACTGGACTTGAGCTTCGTGTGTGTCCCTTGGTGCAAAAGACATTGTTGTGATGTTTCTTGATAAAAGATAGGCACCAAAACTAGCGACCTGAATAACCAAAACACACAACATTTGATTGATACCAACAAAATGAATACTAAGTCAAACCTAATTAATCTTAATTTCTTGATTTTGACTCTTTGTTTTATAACTACTGGTTTGATTTTCAACTTTACAGGTTTAACGGTAGGGTATGAGCAGGTCAACAGTGACTTGGTTAGTGGGTCACAATCAGACACCAAAAATGTGAAAAAACATTACTCCAACATATATAATAATGTTCTATTCTTAAGCATTAAATCTACAAATGATATGCACTAATTCCAAAATTAAGCTGTTAATATATTAAACACAATCAAGTGGATTTTATAGTAGATATGGATAAACATGAATATATCTTGTTAACTAATTTGGATGCATTCTTGAATTATTTGTAACGTTTATAAGGATGTTCCAACAGATTATTCGATTGAAACAGATTGATGGGGAAAAAAAATCTTCTTTTCTTTTCTTTTAAAGCATTAAAATCAAAAATAACCAATATGAATTCCTAATGTAAAAAGAAGCAATTAAAATTAAAAGAAATTAAATAATAGAAAGACAAAAACTAAACCGAACCGGGAAATTGAACTTACCCCACAACCGGTATCGATAGCCGTACGTATAGAGCCGTCGCTGAGATCAATCAACCGTCCGATATCGTCAATATACGCATCAGCGCCACGTGGAAACATCGTACCACCACCAGGAAACCAAAACCGGTCATTCTCGTACCGGACCCAATTCTGATTCTTTTTCTCAACCGTAAGCTCCGTATGGGGCACATTCGCAAACCACGCCACGTCACGACTCTCCGGCCACTTAAACGGCGTTTTATAACCGTACGGCGCCGGAATCCGACATTTTAGGGTTTCTTCTCTCTCCGGGCAATGCCTTTGCCTATACTCCAACCTCTCTCTAGAGAATTTCAACGACCGTTTCGCGTCTTCGCACGGCGTGTGCTCGCTCAGTCCTGCGTCGCACGACTGGAAATTCACGGCGGTTTTCGTCACCGGTGGTGGATCTTGAGGGTTGTGGTGAGCGTTAAAGTCGAGATCTTTCGTTGAATTAGGTCTTGAGAATTCCTCGCACGGTGCACCACCGTTGTCGAAGGCGGCGCGTGGATCCGCCGTCGAGGTTTGCCAAATTCCGAGAAGGTAGCTTCCGATGCAGAGAAGCGCCACTAGGGTTACGTAAAAAAGATTTGATTTTTTACTCCTTGATGATGTTCTCGTGAATAAATTCATCTTCTTTAATGGAAAAAAAAAGAATATTTCTGAAACCCAATTGAAATATTTATATAGAGATGATTTTGTTTGTGTTTGTATATATACACCAAAATTTGAGAAAGACGAATCGAATGTGTGTGACGAGTGAAATTTTCAAGGGTTGATATGAAGTAGTTAAAGGGTTATTATATAAGGAATGACCAAACGAGAAGCGAGTGTGGTATACGCGCTTTAAAGGTCAGCGGGTCAACGATGTTTAATGTATTGTTCGTGAGAGATTAGGCTTAAAACGTGCGAGTTTGTCATAGGCAACAATGGTGAGTTTCAGATTTTTTTTCCAATTTCATCAAAATTATTAGATTTGTTTTTGGAAAAT